CCTGCTTTGTGGAGTAGTTCACGTGCATATTTTTCCTGAGATAAGATCAGGCAGTCCTTGGTGCGTTTGACCTCCAGTCCCAAAAATAATGAAGGGGACCAAGATCCTTCATTTGAAATTCCTGTTGCATTGCTCGAATGAAGGAAGAGATAAGAGATGAAGCACTACCAGTGACAATGATGTCATCAACGTATAGAAGGACAATGAGAATCCCAGAAGGTGAGTGCCGAACAAAAAAGCTGGTGTCATGTTCATTTTTCTAAAACCCAAAGTCAAGGAGGAACCCTGACAGACGCTCGTACCATGCCCTTGGCGCCTGTTTCAACCCATAGAGGGACTTCTTTAATTTGCATACATGATGAGGGTACATCGGGTCAATATAGCCTGGAGGTTGCTTCATATAGATCTCATCGGGTACAACACCATGAAGGAATGCGTTGGAGACATCTAGATGATGCAAGGGCCAATTGTGATTTACTGCCAACGAGAGGACCACCCGTATAGTTTGTTGCTTGACGACTGAGCTAAAAGTCTCAGTATAGTCCAAGCCATATTCTTGTGTATACCCTTTTGCCACGAGTCGGGCCTTGTACCTGGAAACAGAACCATCAGAATTATGTTTAATTTTGTAAATCCACTTACAACCAATAGGAACACGATCTGAAGGTTTGGGGACAAGATCCCATGTGTGCTGATTCATCAAGGCAGCATATTCTTCATCCATAGCTTGACACCAATAACTATTCTGGGAGGCGTCCTTATAGGTAACAGGCTCAGTTTGAGGTGGATCAGAAGGATGAATAAAAGTGGAGTAGAGTTTGGGTTTGAAGATGCCACTCCGTGCTCGGGTGGTCATAGGATGACGGATAGGTGGTGGGGGTGGAGATGGGATAGGGGATGATTCGGGACTATGTGTAGTAAGATGGTGTGGGGAGATTGGGTGGGTGTGTTGTGGCTCTGGTGTGGTGAGTGTGGGTACGATATCAGGAGTCGGATTATCCGACGAGGTGGGTGACGGGCTGGTCAGGTTACGGGTAGGTGATGGTGGCGTAGGATGGTGCGGCTGAGGTGTGGTGGCTGGCGGGACCCTGTGAGCATGAGATGAGTCACATGACGAACTGACCGGAAAAATAGGAAGGATGCCAAGGAATGAATTTTGGGAAGATGGGCCAAGTTGTTGAGGCATGGGAGAGTATGGAAATTGATTTTCTTGAAACTCAACATGACGGGAGACGTATAGACGACCAGTGGAAGGATCAAAACACTGATATCCCTTCGAAAAGGAATCATACCCAAGGAAGATACAACGTTTGGACCGTGGTTGAAATTTGTTAGTGATTTCATGACGAAGATACGGGTATGCCAAACACCCAAACACACGAAGGTGTGAGTAGTCTGGACAAGTGTGGAAGAGAGCTTCATACGGGGACATTCGGTTAAGAGACTGTTTGGGCATTCGATTAATTAAACAATTGGCAGTGGCTAGTGCTTCAACCCAAAATTTAGCAGGAAGAGATGCAGTACAGAGGAGTGTAACAAGGGTTTCGACTAAGTGACGGTGTTTTCGTTCTGCTACCCCGTTTTGTTCAGGTGTGTAAGGACATGATTTTTGATGGAGAACTCCCAAACTTTGCAAGAACAACCCAAACTGTTTATTGACATATTCACGGCCATTATCAGTTCGAAAAATTTTAATTTGGGTACGAAACTGATTTTGAACCATAGATTGAAAGCTAAGAAAGGCATGAAAAGCATCAGACTTACTCTTAAGAGGATAAAGCCAACAATATTTGGTATAATCATCAATAAAAGTAATGTAAAAATGATAACCTCCAAAGGAGGGTACAGAAGTAGGTCCCCATACATCTGAATGAACAAGATCAAAAGGTGCAGATGCCTTAGTTTCAGATACAGGGAAGGGGAGTTTATGTGACTTAGCAAGTGAACAAGAGTTACAATGATCAAGTTGTTGAAACTTAAAACCTAACTGAGATAACAGAGACTTAGTAACTTGAACAGACGGGTGACCCAGACGACAATGCCATTGATATGGGGTGACTTTGACTGTATTGACCACTGGAGATGGGCTGGATGCTGGAAGTGAGTACAAGCCACGCTCACAGGGGCCCTTGAAAAGAACTTGGTTGGTTGTATTGTCCCGAATCGTAAAGTCCTTGGATGTGAAAAGAAGAGAACAATTATTATCTTTGGTAAATTGATGTACAGAAAGAAGGTGAGAATTAATATTAGGGGAATGGAGAAGATTGGTTAAGTGAAAGGTATGGTGGGGTGTGGGTAAACTACCTGAGCCTGTATGATCAATAGGATAAGTGTTACCTCCAGCAGTTGTAATAGAATTGGTACCATGATATGGAGAAGGATGCTGCAACCTAGAAAAATCAGATGTCACATGTGTGTTTGCCCCAGTGTCCAGATGCCAGTTTGAATTAGTCTCAGGGGATTGACGCGTGTGGTACGCCTGTGGAGGACCCGAGTATGATTCGTCATAACGGTGCCAACAGTTCCAGACCGCATGACCCTGTTTGCCACACAACTGACATGTAACAGAATTTCCACGTCCTCCACCTCTACCACGCATATCATCATGGTAGGGCTCTGATCGGCCTCCTCTGCCACCGCTATTGCCGCCACGAGCCAGCCCCCCTGCCGCGGTATGGCCCACGACCACGACCACGTCCATTGCCCCGTCCAGAGTGTGTAAAGAGTGCATTGTGAATCTCCGTAGACGAGGTGGAGCCAGAATCACCAAGCTGCAATTTTTTCTCAAAAGAAAGATTTAATTCTTCTGACAGAAGCCATGCAGAGACTTGGTTAAAAGTGACCGTGCCAATATTTGTCCGAATGTTCTGTTTGAGTGATGCATATTCGTTCAGCAGACCACGGAGAACACACAGAATAATGTCTTGCTCAGACATATTTTCATGAGCCAATTTTAAAGAAGAGACAATACTGAGAACCATATCTAAGTACGTTTGCATGGAATCTGAACCCTTCTGAAGACCATGCAATCGTTCCTTCAACTGAAAAATATGAGTTCGTGATAGAGAATTATATCGTTGTTCAAGATGGTTCCAAATAGCAGCGGAGGTTGACAGGGCATGAAGATGAGTTTGAACTGTTGGTGAGACAATAGCAAGAAGACATGCTCGAATTTGGGCGTCAACAATAACCCATGTTTCATATGCGGGGTTGTGCTTCATAACCGGTGCCGCATCCTTACCCGATGATGCGGCTTTCTCGTCCAAAAGAAGGGGTGGGGGAGGCTCTTCAGATCCACCAACGTAACCAAGAAGACGGTGAGCTAGAAGATTTGCTTTAACCGTGGCTGACCAAGAAGGATAATTGGTATCATCAAGTTTGGCCGGAGTTAAAGATTGGAGATTCCGGACAAACAATTTTAGACCTGTAGGTAGAGAATCCATAGGGTCAGAGGAGAGAGTCGCCATATCCGAATAGTCCAGCAGCGGGTCTGTGGTTGAGGAGAGGAATCCGGCAGAAGCTTGACTTTGTTGGCAAGGTGCTGAATATAGGGATAATGAAGATCCCGTAAAACAAAAGTAAAGAAAAAAGGATGCAAGAGGCAGTGCGATCAAGGGGGAGAAGATCGGCTTCCTGCCGATTGTGAATTTTTTTTTTTTCCGGTGCTTATCACAGTAGGGTAAAACACAGATCTTGTGGCTCTGATACCATGTTGATTTAGAAATATTTCACTCAAGGAATAATGGGTACATGGGGGTGTTTATATATACAAGGATCCTAACCTTGATTAGGAATAGAAATCCTCCTAGGAATAGGAATACTATTACTACCATAATTATATTTATTGTCATAGCTATCTAACATGCACGACATCGACAATTATATTCAGTATTTATTTATGCAAAGCATGAGGTAAAAACTATGCGGTTGCCCTGCTTTATTCTACGTAATTAGCTAGACACTAGTTCAACTTATATGCCCAAGCAATAAATTAAATTACTTTCATTTCGGTAACAATGTGTTAAAATAATACTACCTCCGTTTGGAAAAACCCTTCTCATTTGATTTGGGGGGAAAAATAAGGAAGTGTTAAATTATAGTTGATTTCCAATTTTGCTCTTGATGTGATGGGTAAAAGTAAGATGTGATAGATAGATTATTAGAGAAAAAGTATGATGTGATAGGTAGGGTATGAAAAAGTAAGGGTAAAAGTGGTTTTTTAATATAAAGGGGAAGTGTTTTGTTGGAAGTGAAAAAAATGAAAGAGGAAGTGTATTTGAGAACGGAGGGAATACAATTATGTCATTTCTTGTAACTAAATTCATACCATTTTGGCTGAATGTTTCATTTTTATGTTAAATGTACTCCCTCCGTCCCAAAAAGTCTTTCATGTTTCATTTTTTGCGCATCTCATAAAACACTTCTACCGACATCTAAAATGCCTAAAATTTACAATATTTCTTCTTTATTGTGGATAGAAGTTAATTTGAAAGTTTTTTTGGCATTTAAGGCGTGATAGAAGTGTTTGATGGGATGCACAAAAAATGAAACAGGAAAGACTTTTTGGGACGGAGGGAGTACAATTTTATCTTTAAAATTTTGCTTACTCCTAGTTTTGTATTTTTAAGAATTAAATTATGGATATAACAACATCCTAGCTAGACTAAAGAGAAATGTAAATACTCCCTCCGTCCCAGTGTATTTGTCCAGTTTGACTTTTTCGAGTCAAACTGGATAAACTTTGAGCTTCAATTAAATAAAAATCGTAATGTATTTTAATATAAAAATGATTTTATTGAATTTATTGTATTGATAACTTTTAAAATTGTAAGTAGTATTTTATTGTGCTTGTATATATGCAATATAAATTGAGAGTAATTGGAGTTCAAAGTTTGTCCAGTTTGACTCGAAAAAATTAAACTGGACAAATACATTGTACTGGGACGGAGGTAGTAGTTTATTTTCTTTTTCTGAAAAAAAATATTTTGCAAATGGAATACCTTGGTGTCATAGACAACATGGTAGGACTGAAGGGAAGGAAAGCGGCTGCCTATTTGGTCGATCCACGAGTCGGACTCCTCCAGGAACACGGTGCGGCCGCCCTGGTTAAGAGCGGCCCACATCAGGCTGTCGTAGCCGAGCCCAAAGACGAGGAAGTTGCACGGCGACTTCCTCTCCAGAACTCTCATTGACACCGAGATCTCGTCCAGCGTCTGCTGCGGGGTCACCTTTGTCGTGGCGTAGTGGACCAGCGCCGCCGCCAGCGACGCCGGAATCTTGCCTCTTCGGGTCGCCGGTTCTTGATTTTCCGGCGAAGTTTGCTTTGAATAGAGGACTGAGAGCGGGGAAAACGTTGATGATGGGATTGTAATGAAGTACATGATAAGGAAGATGATGGTGATGAGGATGAATTTCACGCTTGAATTTATGGTGAATTGCTCTTTTGATCTCATCTTTTTTTTAAATATATATTGATAGTATTAAGATTGTTGTAAGGGCAATTTATGATTATTAATTATATGAATATTAATGTTTTTTTTGTGGAACTCTAAAATGAAGAAATGAAAGTGAGGATATATATATAGGGTGTCAATCAATAACCTTTTTGTATAGAAATGGGGAATGAATTAAGGAGATGATTAGTGTCACAACTTTATAGTATTAGGAGGTGTGAATATGTGAGTGGTTTCCTTACAACTTTTTTGTTAAGGTTTGGTTTGTGGGTTAGGTTCATTTTCTTTTTTCAATAATGTTATGTTATTTTATTTTTACAATTAATATGTTTTTACTAAAACATTAAACTTAATTATATCAAAATAAGAACTTATATTCTTATTTTGTTATACTGCAATAATGTATGTTTGCTTTTCACAGAATTTAAAAAAAAATTATGCTGCACAGATAAGAATGTTTTAGAGACTAGTGAAAAAGAAAGTATAAAATTCTACTAGCACACATCTTATTACAAATTTAGAATTTTCATTATTCTTGCTTAATATAGGTCCGCTATAGAAATGACGTTAGAGATTAGCGTTATCGTTTGGAAAAGATTATCTACGGGCAGCGTTTAGCATTGGTGTTTTATCCAAAACACTAAAGTTAATCTCTAACGTTATTCCCAAACTGACAATTGATATTGTCTTTAAAGTTTTAATCATAGTTCCCATCTCATTAATTAATAATCTGTCAACTTTTGTCATTTATGGTTGTTTTTTAATATCCGAAAATCTATGAACAAGTGAAAATTTAGCTTATTAAAATGGTATTCTTTCCATGTCATAATTATCTTCGTTCAGACATAAAAATTTATAAATTTTGACATTTAATAACATAAAAATTAGGATGGATTATAATTGAATTTTAATGTTCCGTATTAGAATACATTTAATTTGGGTTTGATCCAAGTGGACTTGAAGCTAAGACAATGTTCTCTTCACTTGATCCGAATAGTGCTGATCTAATTGGAATAAGCTCTAATCTGACGTGATCTGGTTTAATATGATTTGAATGTAATTATATTTAAAGTTGCTTTTTATTTGATCTGGTCTGAACGGATTCCAATTAAAAAAAATAATAAGTAATAATGATAAGTTGAAGAGAATTGAACCTGGTCTAAGCCTCCTTAATTAAAAAAAATATTAAAATGGAAATAAAATATAAAAAATACAAAGTATATAATGAGAGTTCCATGTTTTTATTTCTAAAATAAAAATTAAAATGCATATACAATGTCAAACATGTTGATATATAATATCAAAAAATATTGTAAAATATCCATATACGGTCCCACATTATCACAGTGACAACTCCTATTTTTGAGGATAAAAACATATGGCTCTTATTTTGGTACTTTCTTTATATTTTACCCTTATTTAGAGTGATTTCTTTTAATTAGAGTATAATTTTAATGAATACTCCGTAGATGAGAAATTAATTTTTGAAGTTTTAACTTTTAACCTTTGAATTTTTCGCACTCCGAATTTCTCGTCATTTTAAATTTGACAAACAGCACATTAAGTGTTCAAATACTCTTTGGTGTAATCATTATACTCCGTATTTTTTAAATTTAACGTCCCCACTGACGTTTTTTTTATAGGAAGAGGGTATTAGTAGAGTAGATTTTTTCTTTAGACAGGGCTTATAGCTTGTTTATTGCATGGTTCCAATTCTTTTGTTTGGGTTACTTTTTCTGTATATAGTTAAAAATTTACTGCACTCGATCGGATATATCATGTTTATAATTTATATCTACTTTTTAGTATTTGAAATAATTAATGCTATAAAAAGAGGTAATTAATTGAAGGGCCAGATTAGGAAATCAGGAATGTAATTATTTTCTATCTTTAGAGTAAAATAAAAGGCCAAAATAGGAATTAATTAAGGTACGAAAGCATAAAAATGGGACAAGAAATAAAAGTAAATTTATAAGTGTAGCCGTTCGTGCAATACAATTTTGGTTGTTGGTTTGGTGAAGAATAAAGACATACCGACCACCTTGTTCAAATGTTTTTTTTTTGGGAAAAACTTACACCAATATTTTCAGAATTGTACGAGTTTACGTAAATATTTCGAGATCCGTTAAACGCCACTAATGCTCTGAATATTTTTCTATATTCACATCATTGCTAGAGAACTGATCGATATATGTTTATTTTTGTATTCCAAATATTGGGACACTGGTTTAAACACATCAATTTTTATAGCACCGATGTGAAATAAAGAAAAATTTTGAGAATATTGATGTCGTTTACTGAAACATGGTAAATTTATATAAATTTGTGCAATTCTGATTTCTGAAAGCATTGGTATAGATTTTTCCGTTTTTTACCTTAGGAGTGAACACGGGTCAATTTTCATAAGGACGTAACTGATTAAACGCGCGATAGACTCTAACTTATTTATAAAGTGAGCGGGCCAAGATGGGCCAGGCTCGGACGGGCGAATTGTTGAATTTAGTAGTTGGAGACTTGGAGTAAGCTCTAACTCTTATTGTTTCAAATGGGTTGAATTAGATCATGATTTTATAGTTTTATAAGCAAGTGAAAGATTTAGAGGAAATTCTATAAATGATCCCTTATTGAAGATGATTTTTTATATTTAGTCTCCAATTATAAAATATTACTCCCTTCGTCTGAAAATGTTTTTCTCATTTGACTTTTCACGGTCTTCAAGATTTGCATTGATCCACTAATATTTTTATTTATATATAGATATTTTTTATAAAAATTTGATATTTGAAAACTACGTTTCAATAGGAATATATTGATGTTAAAGTTATATCATAATACAATATATTTGTTCCACATATTGGAGTCAAAGTTTACAAACTTTGACCAAAAAGGATACAATGATACATAAATAGTCCTCAATTTTCAAAATTTATTCCATAAATAGTTCTTATGGGACTATTTATGGAAAAAAATTATTTTGTTACATTTGGCCTAAAGAATATTAATGGAACAGTTTTCAAAAATTGAAGACTAATAATATAATATCTGAGAATTGAGGACTAAATATAGAAAATCACCTGTAATTAGGGACCATTTATGGACTTAACTCAAAAATTTATACAGAGTATCAAAGTATAGAATACTTCCCCCGTCCCTGAGTATTTGTCCACTTTTGGCCCTTTTTAGTCAAAATTGGTAAATTTTGACTTCAAATTAAATAAAAATGATATCAGATTTTGATATAAAAATAATTTTATTAAATTTATTATATTAAATATTTTCAAAAAAATAATTTATCTAATTAATATATAATATACTCCCTCCGTCCCAAAAAGATTTACAACTTTCAAAAAAATTGCATCCCACAATCTCCTACCCATTTCTATTAAAAAACCACTTTTACCCCTTACTTTTTCAAACCCTACCTATCACATCATACCTTTTTCCTAATAATCTACACATCACATCCTACTTTTACCCATCACATCAAGAGTATTTTTGGAAAGTCAACACAAAATTATCACTCTCTTAATTTCTACTTTAGTCAAAATGTGTAAAAATTTTTGGGACGGAGGTAGTATATTTTATTTAATTATAAGTCAAAAGTTGAAACGATTCTTTACAAAAACTCAAAACAGAACAAAATAGTCAAAAACGGAAATAAGAGACCAGATATTGCAGGACCCAAACAATGTCTTTGAAAAAGAAGCTACACTAACCTTAAATCAATCGAAACAATTTTCGGCGATAAAATATGCACAAAGAGAAAAAGTATTGGTTGGCTATATTTGTAATTTTATTAATATCCTTCCTCCGTCCTTAAAAGATTATCAAATTTGATTTTTTATCAAATTATGACACCTTTTGACCCTAAATTATGCAAAAAGTATATATATAATTTTAATGTAAATTTTAATAAAATAGGCTTATTTTAAGACTTAGTTTTGAAATATTAAAATTTTATATTATTTAATTATTTTAAACTATATTTAATTTGTGGTCAAATGGTGTCACAATTTATCTAAAACACCAAACCGTGACAATCTATCAGGGACGGAGGGAGTACAATATGTCAATATTGAAGAGACTCCTTCCAATAAAAACTTTAAACTTTATAAATTTGATTTTCACAAAGTTTAAAAAAATATTAAAATGCGTATTGTTAGAATACATTTAGATGAAAGAAAAATCTTCTAAGCCACGTATACCTTCATTACTATAAATATATACGGAGTATCCTTTTTTTCTTAAACAATTGTTTATTATATACTCCATTTGTTCTATTTTAAATTGCATGTTTGCCTTTTTTCTCTGTCCCAAAATAAGTTGCATGTTACTTGTTTTCGTAAACTTTTAAGAGTAAAAGTTTCTAAACTACCCCTAAAATGAATCACTCTTCTTCACCTTATCTTTTCATTCATCGTCATCCCTCCTAAAAAATAATGGCAATTTCAAAAAATCAACTCTATTTTTTCTTTTTCTTAAATATGCCTAAAAGTCAAAACTACATTTGCGACTCTAAAAATTAAGTTGGTACTTTGTTTTAGAAATGAGTGAGTATATGTTGGTCAAAATTACTTATAAATTATTTTTAACTTATAAATTTTCTGATGGTATGTTTCTCTGTACTTATAAGTTGCTTATAAGTCAGAAAATATAAATAGGTGTAGGTCTTACTTATTTTTAAACTAGGTTTTTCGAAATTATTTTGATTAGATTATTTATAAAATTATTCCTCAACATTTAATAATAATATTCTCAAATAACTTATCTATCATTTAAATTATTTTATTTGCACGAAAAAATATTTTACTTATAAGCAGCTTATAAGTTAAAAATTGTTTATCTGCTTATCAACAAAACAAACTAAAGTATCAGCACAGAAACACCCTCGTAATAATACGAGACATCCCGAAAATTAAATCGGTGGAGATGTCAGTTTTTATAAATGCAAAATACCCATTGCACAATACAACAAATGAAATTGTAAGGTTAACTTTTGGGGATTCTTTATGATCATTAGTACTCCATACTCCCAAAAATGTTGTGGTGTGGCGACATTAGAGTAACTCTTTCATATGGAAGGTCACAAATTCAATTTCTCAAAACAATTTTTATAAATACTCCGTATTCAACAGTATCCCGGAGGGTATTACCTCGTCTATTCTTTTCCACTTTTTCGATCTTTACTTTTTTTGTGTTAAACTTAGGAGGGTGTATTCAATTAGAATTTTATTAGATTATTTTAAATTTCAAAAAGTTAGGGCCGGTTTGGAAATAGCATTAGCGATTAGCGTTAGCGTTTTGAAAAAGCTATCTACGCGCAGCGTTTAGCTTTAGCGTTTTCAAAGTAATCTGCACCGTTAAAATTTTATCCAAAACGCTAACGCTAATCTCTAATGCTATTTTCAAACATGCCCTTAGTGGTTTTAAAAAGTTTATACAACAATTTAAAATATTGCATCTATATCTAAGATTGCATTGAGCAAATACTTTTAGACAATTATTTTTTATATTTGTTTACATATTTTAAGAATTATTGTTTTTAAAAAAATTAAATACTAGAGCTGAGACCAGCGAGCAAATTTTTTTGAGTAGCTCCTATGATATCTAGTGTTCAAACAAATCTCAATCTCTTAAGAGTAAACGTGAGGCTCAAACACTTGACATCATCAAGGAGTTTGGGAAGGCTCCCTTGTCATTATGTCAATATTAAAAATAATAAAGGCTAAAATCCACTATTGGTCCTTTAGCTTTATCAGTTGTGCACGATTGGTCCTTCAAGTTTCAAAAGTCCATAAATAGTCCTTCAACTTTATGAGTTCTGCACCATTGGTCCTTCAAGTTTTAAAAGTCCATAAGTAGTCCTTCAGGTACACGTCAGCCCTCCATATGAAGTCCGTTTGACCTTAAATATTAAAAGTTGAACAAAATACTAGTTTCATATAATGCGAGTAAATTCCATTAGGTACAACTACTCTGTATTATATGGAACTAGTATTCCATTGGCTTTAAACATTCATTGTCAAAAGGACCTCATCTGGAAGGCTGGCGTGTACTTAAAGGACTATTTATACACTTTTAAAACTTGAAGGACCAATCGTGCACAATTGATAAAGTTGAAGAACCAATGGTGGAGTTTAGCCAATAATAAAAATAATAGGAAATAAGATCGATATTACTCTCTTCGTCCTAAAATGTTATTCTCAATTACTATTTACGTGGTCATACTTTAATCACTTTCTTTACCTATTTTTGTTAGTTATTTGATATAATAATATAGTTTTGTTGTCTCTTGTTCTGTAAAACTTTTGATGTGTTAAATATATAAAATATATTTAATATTATTGTATTATGATTTGTTTCCATACTTGTATAGTTTCCTAGAATATCTCTCCTACCATAACTAGGATTGAGACTCTTGTATATATGCATGTATTCCTCTCATAATTTAATCAATGAAAATTCCACTTCTTCATGGTATCGGAGCCTAACTAAAACCCTAAAATCTTTTCCCCAGTTTCGGCCCTTTCTCTAACGCCGAACAACACCAGCGCCGCCGCATCCCTTCTTCATCACCCACGGCTGGCAGCTCTCTCCCTCTCCTACAATGGCTGAAAGTGAAATCACCTCTCAATCCTCCACCCAAAAATCTCCACATCTGGCTTTCTCCGTCTCCAACGTCAAACTCCATGTTCCAATTCAACTCAGTTTTTCTCAACCAAACTATAAAAAATGGAGCCGCCTGTTTCTTCTTCTTGCACGACGGTTCAACCTTCAAGGTTACCTCAACGGCTCTATTGCTCCCGTCTCTGACGACGACGACGAATGGTTTCAACTCGACGCCATCCTCCAAGGGTGGATTCTCTCCACCATCTCTGATGAGGTTTCTGATCTAGTTCTTTCCTCTATTTCAACTGCTTCTGCTCTTTGGACGGTGATTCATGCCTTGTTTCATGATAACAAACATGCTCGTGCCATGCAACTCGAGCACCAATTTCGTACCACCGTTAAAGGATCCACACCCATGGCCACGTATTGCCAAGAACTCAGGAATATTGCAGATTGGTTGGACGACGTCGACGCTCCCGTATCAGAACACCAGTTGGTTCTCCAGATGCTACGAGGATTGCCGGACGACCTGCAAGCTCAAACCTCGTTTCTTCAATTCCAAGATCCCATGCCGAGCTTTCTCTAGGTCCGATCGGCCCTCCTCCTACTCGATCGGCACCGGACTCCCCTGGGCGGAACTAGTGGCACAGCGCTGCTGGCAGGTCGGGACGCCGGAGGTTTCACCGGCGGCCAGCATGGCGGGGGCGGCAGTCGCGGCACTCCTCACGCCGGCAGTGGGGATCGTGCTTTTGGCAGCAGTTTTGGCGATGGCTCTTCCTCGGGACAGCGTAGTGGTTTTGGACGCGGACATGGTCGTGGCAACGGCAACCGGGGTCACGGTCGAGGGCGCTCAAACGGCGGATCGAGACAACGGCCACCAACGGACGCCCAAAATCCCTGGAACTCACCTTACCCAAACCCTAGCCCCGGAGTGCTGGGCCCCCGGCCCTCACCCGTACCCTACCCCTACCCTGCCCATGCCTATTACACACCCACCCAACCCCCACACCCATCCCCTTACCCCACCCTCTCCCCCTATCCAGTACCGTACCCCC